TAAAAACATCCAAAACAACAAATCCTCCATACTATTTTTATTTAGTCTTTTCTCTTTAGCAGTGAATATCTTGGGAAGCAACCTGACTTTTCAAGCACCATAGAACTGGGAGAGGAGAATGACAGCCCCCATTGATCCGCCAGTAATGGAAAATACACCGATAAACGTTTTCTATCTGCCTCCCTTGCCAATAAGGAACATTAACTGAATTGTTACACCTCATTTTTTTTGACAATCACTTCCTTCTCCCCTCAGTGCAAGGAGGCTGTTAAAACCAGGAAATGAAAAGGCATCCTTGTCTGTCCTTGTTGTTAAGGCTTATGCATGAAGGCATATGTCAAAAGGACCATATTACTCTAGGTTGTTGTAAGGCAGTTGCTGAGGGCGGTTTTTTCTTTGATTAGTACATTCAATCCATTTTCGGTGGTCTGATAACACTCTAACCCCGCAGCTTGACTCAGGCCATTTTACAAGAAGTGATTTACAGTGTCTTGTAGCATGAGACCCTGCCATTATTGAACAGACCTCAAGTCGGTCCTCATTAGTAATGATGGTTGGAAACTAGAAAGGTTGGAAGGGACCTACTCCAACTTCCTGCTCAGGCAGGAAACTCTATACCATTTCAGACAAATTGTTGTCCAGTCTCTTCTTAAAAACCTCCAGTGTTGGAGCACCCACAACTTCTGGAGGCAAGTCATTCCACTGATTTAATTGTTCTGTCAGGAAATTCCTCCTTATTTCAAGGTTCCTTCTCTCCTTGATTAGTTTCCATCCATTGCTTCTTATCGTGTTCTTGTCCAGACAACTGATTCAATTTGGGATCCTCTGGTTTGCAAAGTCATATATTTGTTCCTACTGGTTTAATGTTCTCAGCATTTTCCTGGTGTCTCACTAGTAGAAATCCACTTCTTTCCTCGTCTCCCATATTCTAAGTCAGTGGTGGCAAACCTATGGCACGGGTGCCAGAGGTGGCATTCAGAGCCCTCTCTGTGGGCACACGTGCCGTGCCCCGGAGATGGCGAGGGACTGGCCCCGCCCACCCAGTCTGCCATGACCACGGCGGCCACGCCCATCCGGCACCCGGTGACAAACAAGTGGGTTTTGGGTTGCAGTTTGAGCACTGGGTCTCTAAAAGGTTCGCCATCACTGTTCTAAGTGATGATCAAGCAACTGCTATTATTTGGGGAAGGAATCTTCACACCCTTAAAGTTTAAAAACTCCGAGATTTTCAACATACAGAATTCTGCACCCTAGGAGACAAGGAACATAAAGGAGGCAGACCAAGAGCAACAGGCTTCTTACAAAACCAAAAACAGCTCACCAAGGGGGAGAAAAGCCCAGTTAGATTAGAGCTGCATTCAAAGTCATTGAATTGCACCTGATTTTACCACCCTTTCCCCCTGGATTAAGTGAATCACCACTGTCATTAAGTGAATCACCAGGTTGTTAAATAAATCTAGCCTTTCCCCTTGACTTTGCTTATTGGAAGCTGGATGGGGAGTTGTAAATGGTGATCGTGTGAACCTGGGATGCTGTAACCATTATAAATACGTACTGCTTGCCAAGTGCCTGAATTTTGATCAAGTGACTGCAGGAACACTGCAACGGTCATAAAGGTTGCAAATTACTTTTTTCAGCACCATTGTAATTTCTAATTGTTGTTAAATGAAGGTTTGTAAGTCAAGTACTACTTGTATGCTGCTCAGAGTCACTTGCAATGTGAGATGGGCAGCTATACAAATATAATGAATGAATAAATAAAATAACCTCATCAAAGATAACTTTTCTTTCTTCTCTGATATATTTTACTTCTACCAGGTCTAAACGTACAGGGAAACCGTTGCAAGAATTTCTTTTCAAGATTTTTGAAAAATGCTAGGTAGCCAAGAGGTACCTCATTTTGAAAGCCCACCTGAGGTCTGAAATGCAGGTGAAGGAGCCGAAGTCCCTTGAAAGTAATTTATGGTTCAGCCTTTTGCTTAAATTATTATATTGCAGGAAGAAAATACTTTCAGCTCCATAATCCTTTAGACTAGATTAAGACTTAAACGGGATAAATTTGGGGACACACAATGAACATCAAAAATAAAAAGTGACAGGAGCATTCTTTCGATAAATTTAGTCATTTAGAGAGTTTATACCCGAAACAACTTTATCAATCCGTTTATAAGCCAAGTATATTTTCATCCTATGCCTTTTTCTCCTACTTTCCCCAACAATATACATCTTAGAAAATTAGACTTGATGAGTCAATTTGAAGAGATTTTCCTCATTCTGTTTTAATCAGAGTTCTTACCTGCAGATGAAAGAATAGTTAAATCCAGGTTTTCATTATCTAAAGAAACTGTGTTTAGTTCTAATCCTATATAAATAGCATGGATCACATGGATCAATTTACTCCAACTTGAAATTTTGATGGGAGCAACTGGATACAAAACTGCATTGCCCCTTGATCCCCATCAAGAAGGAGGGAACCCCAAACCCCAGGATCATATATGGCTTCCAATAGCATTTTAGGTCACACACAAATCAGCAGATTTTAAATTAAGGAATGTCCTGAATTGCTTGTGTTAGCCAAAACATTGGCTTAATATTAAGAGGCCCCAAACTTAAAACTTTGAATCCATCCAGAAAATAGTGATAGCAATAGCACTTAAGACTTATATACCACTTCATAGTGCTTTACAGCCCTCTCTAAGCAGTTTACAGAGTCAGCCTTTTGCCCCCAACAATCTGGATCCTCATTTTACTGACCTCAGAAGGATGGAAGGCTGAGTCAGCCTTGAGCTGTGGTTAGGATCGAACTCCTGGCAATGGGCAGAGTCAGCCTGCGATGCTGCATTCTAACCAATGAGCCACCACGGCTCCTTGCCTATGGGTGTTATCTGGGTCCACTTTGCAACATCACTCTGACTATGTGCCCTCCCCAAATATTTTAAGTGTAGTTCTTGTGATCTAAGAGGACCTCACTTGAGCACATGGCTGAGGAATTCTGGAGTTAAACTCCACACATCTTAAAAGTTGTCAAGATTGAGAAACACTATGATAGATGACATCCAAACTCATCTTAAAAACCCAAATCTGTTTACTTTTCCAAGAGTTTTCCCCTTTATACAAGTATTTTTAATCTATCTTATCAATCACAGAAACTGGGCCACTAAAACAAACCAACCAAAAAAAATAACTTATCTGCAAGAAAATGTTTATTTTTATATTTTTTTTTGTAAACCCCACAGAAAAAATAAAGAATGCAGCCAAGACCAAGTATTTCAACAGAAAGAGTGCCCAAAAGGGCAGCCAAGAAAAATAAAACAATAAAAAATAAAAATAAAAAAATGGGGGAACCTCAACACAAAAAATGACAAGAGTTCATGTTTTGCACAAAGATGAAAACCAATGACATTTCTGAGTAACACTTTCATGGTGACAATTACACAAGATGATTCCAAAAAGCAAAATGACAGCAACATGCACACCTGGCTAAAGCTAGGATTTTTTTTTTTAAATCCGAAAAAGAATCTGATTTAAAATGATGGACCATTAATACTCATATTTTATTGACTTGCTTGTCCTATTTAATTTGTTTTTAAACAAGGCATACCTGCCAATTATGAAACTTTAAAATGTGTTGTTTTAAAGAAGAACGTTGTCCTTCCAGAGTCCACTGCATGTTTGCAAAATCATAATGAATTCATTTCTCTTTTTTTTAATAATTTTGCTAGTTACTAATACAATTTTGAATCCCTGTCCCACTGCCCCTCCCACCCATACTCAAACCTTAAACACTTCAAAAGTCGCCAGTGCAACACACTTTCCTACCAATGCACAATATACATTTAAACTGAAATCTTTGTGCAATTTTGAGTTTCTTTAAAAAAAAAAGATCTTTAAAAAAGAAAAAACCTCCTTGGCACAACGGCTGAGATTTTAGCCCAGCCTCATTGAAATGAAACTATCAAACTCAGGATGATAGAAAGCGTAATTGAAATTTGACTTTAAAAAAACCCCAAAGCAAACCAAAACACCCAAACTGCCCTTTTTTTTTTATCAGCCAGTCGGACAGTCTCTGGAATACCCTATGTTGCACTGCTCTGCTTTTACTACAATACTCCCTCTGTTACTATTCAGCTACAGCATATCCTCATCATCGGAAACACTGTTGGATTTGGTACCCAAAAAACAAACAAAAAGAGATGCAACCGCAGATGACATCCAAATTATGTTCATGACCTGCAGTAGACTCTGTAAAACGAGCTTTACTTTTTTTAGGCTACACGGGAGCAAAACGGGAGTGGGGGGAAGAGAGATAATTGCTAAACTATCAAATTTCCTCTTGACATGTCTTAGTTTCTCAAGGTCCTGCTAGCATTAGCATCTTTCAAGCCATTAACCACCCTGATGGGAATCTTCACACAACTACCAAGAACATGTCATTATCATATGTTTATTGCCTTCTTTCAAGAAAATGATGTCCTTTTATTACACATTTGGCCCTTAGTGGGATAAGCAAATTGATCTCTTGGACATTCTTCCTTCCATTCAACCCCATCTCACCATCCTCTATCAAAGCTTTATTTCACTACAAATCCTTTCGCCATAAGAAACAAAAAACGGACTAAAGAATTTCCATCATTATTCCTTGCCATTTTTAATTTGCCGTTTTGGCTTCATTATATTTAAAAGAAATAAAGGGGGAGAAAGAAGGGTTTAAAATCAAGCAGAGCTATTTTTTTTTTTGTAGTTTCAAGAGGAAACTTTGCAGCAATTCATTTATGCGTGGGTGTCTTGTGTGTGAATTCATTTTTAACTAACAAAGAGAAGCAGAATTTGCTATATGAAAATCGAGAGTTGTGGGTTCTTTTCCCCTTAATGCGTTGGCCAAGAAAAAAAAAAAACAACTGTAAAGTTTTGTGAGTTTTTCTAAAAATTTACAAGAAAAAACTGATGGGCAGTTTGAGTCAAACCTTGGTGTTGGGCCCCCCCACTTCCCTTTATTTTTATTTTTAAACAAGAAATCAGTACAGTCTCACACTATACAAATTTCATCTTGACTGCGAGAGATTTTTCTGTGTGATGCCTTCGGTGCGACAGGTGGAACGTTGGCGCTTACTTCTTCAGGGGTTGGTAAACTGAGGCATTGGGATCAAGTCCAGAAGGGCTGGTCTCCACAAATTTGGAAGAATAGTGTGGAGAAACTGGGCTTAGCGTGCTGGTGGCTGCAGTGTATGTTATGCTGGGCATGACGGCCATCACTTCCGCTATCTTCTGTTTTAGGTCCTTGATTTCCTGATCTTTCTGAATGATCTGCCCTGCAAAAAGGAAAGAAAGAAAAGAAACACTTTAAGACAGGGGTCCCCAACCCCCGGGCCGTGGACCAGCACCAGGCTGCAGCATGCCAGAAACCCGTCCGGGCAAACAAGCGAAGCCCCATCCACGGGGCAGGCACCATGCAAACCCACGCCCCCTCCGGTCCACTGGAAAATCTCTCTCCTTGGAATCGGTCCATGGTGCCCAAAAGGTTGGGGACCAATTGCTTTAAGACACAGGAAGTGTGGGAGAAGAGCAAGTAGAGCTGGAGGCGGAGTTCAACGCGTCATCAGCTTCGAGTCCTTACGTTGCCACAAATGGCCCAGGTCTAGCTCTCCTTGAATTCCGTTGAGCTTTATCTAAGGCCAACTTAGTGCTGACCGTAAGTCGACTAGATTCTTGTGTATAGGCTTGAAATAATAAATCTTCTGTGCTGCAACTTAATGTGTGGTCCCGATGCTTTGTGCCTGACAGGAAGGGCTTTTCATCCGCAGTGTCTACAGCAGTGTTTCTCAACCTTGACAATTTTAAGGCAAGTGGACTTCAACTCCCAGAATTCCACAGCCAGCCAGAATTCCACATGCCTTAAAATTGTCAAGGTTGAGAAACACTGGTCTACAGAGTACAGCCAAAAAAGTCAAGAGAGGAGCAACAGTGTAACTGACACTATATCGGCACACACAACACATCAACAACAGATGGAGATTCAGCTGCATTGTCATCTCTTGAATTTTTTTTTTAACCATACCTTGTAGAAACTCTAGACCAGTGGTGACGAACCTATGGCACACGTGCCAGAGGCGGCACCCAGAGCCCTCTCTGTGGGCACACGCACTGCTACTGCCAGCAGGTCCATTAGGCCGCCGCCGCCACCTGGAGCGGCAGCTCCACCCAGCACAAAGGAGGCAAAGCGGCCAGCTAGTAAGCTTGAGGTGGTAGAGCACCCCCACGCCCAGCAAGCCAAAGGCCACCCCGAGCAGGGAAAGCCAGATCCCCATCGGCACCATGGTCCCCCCAGTCCCAGCTAGGATTGCGTACCTCCTCCCATCTATGCTGGGCTTCCTACTTATCACCCCACGCACCAGAGACCCCCTGGATCTCCCCCAACCGTGCCCAGCCCTCACAGGCATCCCCCCCCATGAGCAACATCGAGGTGGCCGTGCCCACCCCAGCCACGCCCACCGTCTGTCGTGACAACCGCAGGTATGCCCACCCAGTGGGCCACGCCCACCCAATGGGCCAAGCCTCCATGTCCCCCCCTGAGGGCACCACAATGCTGATGCGGTCCTGGCACTTTGCAATAAATAAGTGGGTTTTGGGTTGTGGTTTGGGCACTCCGTCTCTAAAAGGTTCGCCATCACTGGTCTATGGTTAAAAAAAAGTATTATGGTAAAAGGCATGTTAAGGGAGGGTGGAGTTACAGCATCTGAAGGAAAAATAAATATGACAATTCAGGGATCTGAACTGCTATCACTCAAGAAAGACAATTCTTTTGCTAGCTTTGTGCACCCTCTGCTGGATCCAGTGGCAGTTCACAGCACCTGACAAAACTCCAAATGGAAACTGAGAAGGGGAGACTGATTTTGCAAAGGTTTTCGTGTGTGTGTGTGTGTGTGAGAGAGAGAGAGAGAGGGGGGGGGGGAACAGAAAGATTTGCTTCTGCTATCCTGTGAGACCAGTGTACCTTTTATTTCAATGCTAGAAACCTGCACTAAAAATCATTTTCTTAAGGTTTGAAAACACAACAGCCACAGAGTTAGGGATACAATCAGTGGTGGGATTCAAATAGGTGAACAACCGGTTCTCTGTGTGGATGCCACTTCCGGAAGTCCGTTCTGGGCCTGGGCAACAAAAAATTAGCTACCGGTTCTGCCAAAGTGGTGCAAACCGGCTGAATCGCACTACTGGATACAACTCATCTATTTAAGAACAATTTAACATCGTATTTTTCTCTTTTCTCAGCATCCCGTTGTGCTCAGAACATGAGGAATTCCAGCTGTGCCTCTGCTCTTAATTTCTTAACACTGCATTATTTTTTTTTGCAATGTCCACACTCTGAATTGCATTTGAGGATCTAATAAAATTTAATGGCCTGTTTTCTAGCACTGCTTACTGTTATCCTTGGAAAGAAAGAAAAAATCAAGCTTGACAACTTCCTTTTTCTGACCCATGCTTGCACTCTGTCCCCCATCTCACCCCATTATTTTTTTTACTGAACTTACTCAAATAGGTAGGAATAATAGAATAACTCAATAGAATAACAGAGTTGGAAAGGACCTTGGAGGTCTTCTAGTCCAACCCCCTGCTCAGACCCTATATCATTTCAGACAAATGGTTGTCCAATCTCTTCTTAAAAAGGTCCACAACTTCTGGAGACATGTTATTCCACTGGTTAATTGTTCTAACTGTCAGGAAATTTCTCCTTAGTTCTAGGTTGCTTCTCTCCTTGATCAGTTTCCATCCGTTGCTTCTTGTCTTGCCTTCAGGCGCTTTGGAGAATAGCTTGACTCCCTCTTCTTTGGGGCAGCCCCTGAGATATTGGAACACTGCTATTATGTCCCCCCTCATCCTTCTCTTTGTTAAACTAGACATACCCAATTCCAGCAGCCTTTCCTTATATGTTTTAGACTCCAGTCCCCTAATCATCTTTGTTGCTCTTCTCTGGACTCTTTCTAGAGTCTCAACATCTTTTTTACATCGTGGTGACCAAAATTGTTCCACTGTGTTAATTGTTTTCACTGTCAGGAAGTTTCTCCTTAGTTCCAAGTTGCTTCTCTCCTTGATTAGTTTCCATCCATTGCTTCCTGTCCTGCCTTCAGGTGCTTTGGAGAATAAGTTGACCCCTTTCTCTTGAGAATCCCTGCCCTTCTCTTCCTGCTTTTAGGGCCTGTACTTTGATTTAAAGAAAACAATAACAGAAAGCCTCAACTTCCCCACTTAACTGCGTCAACAAAAGAGAGAGAAAACTGTGCTATACAATTATTATTTTGCAATTGAGTTTTGGCTGTGTAGCGTTGGAGAATACGAAGGGCTGCAGAAATGGATTAGGAGGGAGCTCCCTTTGGTTATATTTTTGTCGTTTTTTTATAGCAAAGGATGCTTAATTTGATTAGGATTATCTGGCCATCTCATTTCCCTCCAAAAAACAAAACAAAAACCCTGACATTGCTGGAAAAAGAAAGAAAGACGTTTTGACTTTAGTATTTTCTGTTTAGATAAGTCTGTCGTTACAGAAATGGCTAATATACTAGGTATGTAAAAGTAAAACGTTGAGGCTATATTACTATTTTTATTCTACTGCACTAAAAAAAAGTTGGAAGTTAATGCTTTTTTCTTCTCCCCCCCACTCCACATTTCTTCTTTCCTGTTTATTCCCTTTCCCATTTCCCTGCTGTCTTTATTTTCATTTGTTTTTCATAGTGTGAACATTTAATAATTCTTTTTTTTTTAAAGGAAGTAAAAGAACCCATTTCTGAACCAACTGTCCATACTCTACCCCAGGGGTGGCGAACCTATGGCACGTGTGCCAGAGGCGGCACTCAGAGCCCTCTCTGTGGGCACGCGTGCCGTCGCCCCAGCCCCGCCTACCCCCACGGTCCCCTCCTCACCAGCAGCCCCACCAAGAAGAGTCGCCCCCCGTCGTGGCCCGTGCGGAGCAGCGCAGCCAAGGACATGGCAGCCGGGCAGCAGGTACAAGACTCTGACCCCGCGCCCCGCAGCATCATCTGCTGCGTGGCCGCCATGGTGCTGCAGGGCCGCCTGGGCAATCTGCTGCAGCGGGCCGTGGAGGTGGTAGGTGGCCCTGTGGAGGGGTGGGGGTGGGGAAGAGTGCGGAGGGGCAGGAGGTGGGGTGGAGTAGGCAGGGCAGGGGGCAGAGCAGAGGGGGTGGGGCAGGGGCGGAGCGGTTTTTGGGCACTCAGTGTCTAAAAGGTTCGCCATCCCTGCTCTACCCAGCTTTAACTGCTCTTATGATTTTGGTGCACTTTTATAATGGAAGTTAATTAGCCAGTGAATTATTGTCAGTTTCACCTAAACTCTACATCAGCGCTGGACAGCTATTGAGGCTTGTGAACAGAAAAATGCCACATGACGAAAGAGTTCCCTTTGAGCCAAACACTCAGAAAAACATTAAACAGCAGTCTCAGGTCAGAAAAGATTGCTGTGAGAGTTCTTTATATCCTACGCAATTTCAAAGTTATTTTCAGCAATCAAGAGCCGGAGGGCCATAAGCGCAAGGATCTTTCCTTGCCATTTTTTCCCCAGTGAAAGCTTTCAAGAAATGGGTTTGAAATCACAAGGAAACGCCGTCACGTATCGCACTGTGACAGTCAAAGCTGCGATGGAAGCTCCCACAAGGTTTACAGGTAGTCCTCGTTCAGCGGCTGACTTGTTTAGCAACCGTACACAGTTGTGATGGTGATGAAAATGCTTGTGATTATGACCTTCGCACATCTGGAAAGCAAAGGAAAGCTATAGGAAGACCGTTAAGCACAGTCATGGTTTCACTTTGCGATTGCTTTGCTTAACGGCTGAGTTGCCGGTCCCAATTGCGGTCACCAAATGAGGACTACTTGAACTCTGGGTTCTTACAACGCACCAAAGGCCCCCGAGGTTTACTACCACTCAGCCCAGGGACTCACTTACCTTGAGCTATCTCCAGCTGTCTTTTGGCATCTCCTAACGCAGAGAAGAGGTCCAATTTGATCCTTGTCTCTGCGCTCAGGCTGTTCTCTAAATGCTGCGTCTTATCCTGCATGGCTGAAAGGGCCGACATTAATACCTCTGTATCCTTTTCATTCTCTTTGTATTTCCGCCATTCCTTTCAAAGGAATTAAAGCAGGATTGTTACAAGCACAGTCACTATTATGAGATTCAAGGGAGAGAAAAAAATATGGATGGGGAAGGGGGGGGGAAAGAAACTGGAGCAAACATGTGGCTCTGGTTACTTGGGAATACCCTCTGACTTGTATGTTATTTATTATAATTGGATAAATCCTGAAAAGTTTAATCAGGGTTACAGACTAGATTAGAAAGGTAAACAAAGTCTTGTAAACAAAGTCTACCATTGGCAAAAAAAACAACAACTTCTGTGTAGTCACCAAGAGTTTAGCTGTGCAAACACACTCACATTTAAGCCATGTTTGAATACCAAAGTAATTCTTATGGATTGGAAATGGAAATGTTTAGCTGTCACTAGACAACCTATGATCTATCTGTTGGGTCATTCTTTCAGATATATTTTGTTACTCAAACCCACTACTGCTTTCCTGCCATCAGCTGCAGTCATGGAATCCCCACTGATGCTCTCCTGCTGGCTTCCCCAATGATTTGTGGGAAGGTGTCAGGAAACACTGTAAATGAGGATCATGTGACTGCTGCAGCATGGCAGCAATGCTGAACAGCAACAGCTTGGCAATGTCAAAAGGGCAAGGACTTTCAAAAATTTCATTCCCATGGGAGTAATGGATCCCAGTATTTTGTAAGTTAGTCCATTTGAGGTACCACGGTTGAAAAGGTTTTGCCCAATGATGTACCATTTTGCCCAGTTAAAGGTTATAGACACAAGAGTCTTGGTAGTATATAGATATTATTTCTTTGCCAAGAGCTTTGAAAAGATTGTGATATATCCCTCTAGTTACCACTGAATTTTGAATGCAACATTCTAAATGTTGAATGCAACATTTTGAATGTTGAATGCAATGTTGAAACACCAGAGGTTGGCTTTGGGGCAGGGAAATATATTATCGGTTGAGGCATAAAGGATAATAATTATAGTTCACAAAGCACATATTGACCTGTGTTTCTCAGGCTCCAAGTTAAAGTACAAGCATAAATGTCCATTCTTGTCACCTAAATACCTGGACACCTAGAATGTCTCTGAGAAGACTACATGGTAGAGATAATCAGAATCCTTGATGCGTATTTTCCCCAAAATATTATTCAGATGAATTCTACAGTTAGCATATAAGCATGGTTGGTAATCCTATTCTCCAGAAATGTCTTTAATCTCATTTCAACATACGAGAGCAATTCGGAAATAAACTTCTGCTTGGTTATCAATGACAGACACTCGCAGATACAGAGCTTTTATTATGCACATTAGAAAACTACAACATTACATTACTTTTTGACATCATCGCCATTCAAATTGAGGCACTTCTCATGTCATACAAGGTTTGAAATTCTTTAGTCGCTCGGCGCCAAATATGGGCTATGGGGGGGGGTGATCAAAAACATCCCAACGGAACTGCTTCAAAAGTTCTTGGGGGCGTCTAGTGGTGCGCGAGTGAGCATTATCATGAACCAACAGGACACCAGAAGTGGTGCCATAGAAAATCCCATCAAATGTGAAGATGCCAAAGGAATACTGCTTAGTGAAGTTCATGGAACATGGTTCAACCATCAATTCAGAAGTCTATTGTGAAACGTTACGAAAACTCAGACGAGTCATCCATAACAAGTGTTGGGGCAGACTGATTTCCGGTGTGGTGTTGGTTCACGATAATGCTCACCTGCACACCGCTAGATGCACCCAAGAACTTTTGAAGCAGTTCTGTTGGGATGTTTTTGATCACCCCCCTATAGCCCAGATTTGGCGCTGAGTGACTATTAAGGAATTTCAAAACTTGTAAGACGTTATGACAAGCGCCTCAATTGGAATGGCGATTATGTCGAAAAGTAATGTAATGTTGTACTTTTCTAACGTACATAATAAAAGTTCTGTATCTGTGAGTATCTGTCATTGATAAACAAATGGAGGTTTATTTCCGAATTGCCCTCGTAATTCATGACAGTGGCTATTACTGACTTCCTTCCTATATTGACCCTGGATAATCAACCATCTGTTTGCTTAGCTAATTTGACTAGTTCAACTATGGGACATACAGAGAACTTTCCAAAAATTGAAGATATTTCATTGGAAATTCATATGATGTGTAAGAACTTGCCCAGTTCTTACAACAAAGCTTTTAGTGCAAGATGCCATAAGGGATTTTGTTTCTCAGCCAGCTTGTCACAGATACAGATGCTGAGTGGCCCAAGGTCCCAGCCGGCTTCTGTTCCTAAAGGGGGACTGAAATCTGGCTCTCCCTACCCCTTAATTTTTACACCTTGCTTGCTTCGTCTTCACAGTCCTCAGGAAATAAGGTAAACTGTTAACCTTCCCTCCCTATTCTCCCCTGTAAATGCTGCCTCATCAAAAATGTGAAAGTGCTATAAGGCTTGTAAACCACGGATTCCAAACTCTGAAAATATTTCTAAAAGTTTATTTTTTCTTAAGCACAGTTTACACATTCTTCCACAATTGCGGTGTCAGTTCTATTATGGTGTTCATCCCTTTTGAACCCGCTAAGCCATTGGTGGCGAACCTATGGCACGAGTGCCAGAGGCGGCACTGGGAGCCCTCTCTGTCGGCACACGTGCCGTTGCCCCAGCCTTGCCTCCTCCCGAGACCCCCTCCTCTCCAGCAGCCCCCCTGAAGGAGAGTCGCCCCTGAGCGTGGCCCACACGGAGCAGCGCAGCCAAGGACATGGCAGCCGGGCAGCGTAGACAAGACTCTGCCCTCACACTCCATCATGCAGTTGATGCTGCAGGGCGCGGGCAGAGGGCATGACCGCCATAGGGCTGCTGGGCTGCCTGGGTGATCTGCGGCGGGCCCTGGAGGCGGTGAGTGGTCCTGTGGGTAGGCAGGGCAGGGGATGGGGGGCAGAGTGGGGGCGGAGCAGGGGGCGGGGCCAGTTTTGGGGCACTCGGTCTCTAAAAGGTTCACCATCACTGCGCTAAGTTATCTACTTAGGCAGGATTTACATATTATGATATACCGGGATGTAGCACATTTTGTGAACATAACTTTAGTTTTGGAACGTATTATCGAGAAAACCTTTTGGACTGGATTAATTTTGAAATTAATCAGGGAGAACTTTAAGGAAACCCATTAGATCTCATTTGCAGATTGTTATTACCCAAACAGTGGTACGTGGGTTAAGAAATGCTTCTCAGAAAGCAAATATTCTTGCTGGAAAAGGCATGGAAAAGAAAAAAGTTCAGGTTTTTCAGGTTCAGACACTCTTCCCCAAACTGGCACCTTGCAAGTGTGTTAGGACTACAGCTTCCATCATTCCCAGCATGACCTGTCTATGGGGGATGGAATTGTAGCCTACCTCAAGCTGATTCAGAGTAAGAAAAGAGTAACCCTGGTGTATCTTTCAAACCTTGCAAATGTTTTGCTAAATTTAAAAGAATATTGGCTGAGAGACAGAATCACAGAACATTTTGTTACTTTCTCCTTACCTGAACTTTCATTTCTAGATCTCGTATCTGGTCTTCTTTCACCTTTATATCAATTGTTAGCTTTTTGCACTCTGTCTCCAGGTCTCTGATGCGATTTCGTAATGTCTCAGTGCATTCTCCTCTATCAAACAAAATAATGAGAAAAAGAGAAGAGGGCAAGCTTTCAATCTGGATTTTGGCTAATTTCAGCAGTGTATTAAAACAGCAAGATGTGTGGAAAAAAGGGTGCAATTGTATGAACTCTTTTCATAAAACAGCTGAATAGCGGTGCAAAATAAAACATGATTTGTGCACCATATAACCCTCTGTGAAGTTTGCAGCTGTAGGCTTCCAAAATGAGGTTTTGTTTCCCCCCAAAAAACCCCAGAAACTGCTCTTTGAAGAACAGGAGAAGGAGAACTTTTGCATGTATTAACCTGATGCTTGTAATCTTCCCTTCTCAGTTTAAGATCTGGGATAGAAAATGCTGCAATGGAAGATTCTAAATGTGCACGTGCATCTTTAGTCACGTTTAACACTCCACCAGTGACTGACAAACCTCAGCATACTCTCCCTAGATTCATCCATCTCGTCACTGATAAGAGGGAAAGTTTATAGGTTCTCATCTATCGTAATAAAACATGTTCTGGACTGTTAAACTTCAGACTCTGTAGGGCAGACATGTCAAACACAAGGCCCGGGGGCCGGATGAGGCCCGCAACGTGGTTTCATGTGGCCCGCGAAGCCATCCTGGAAACAGTGAGGGAACGGCCCCCGCTGCCTTGGCCTTGGACCAGGCCGGCCGGGAGCCAATGTACAATTTTGTGGTGGCCATCTATGCTGAAACACATTCAGTCTTAGCTCCACAAGGCCGTCTGGAAACAGCGAGGAACCAGCCCCTGCCACGTCAGCCCCGCCCACCTGGGTTCATGCTGGGGAGGTGTCACCCTTTGTGAGGAATGAAGAAATGCACCATCATCTGGAAGTGGCCAGCAAAGGGCCCTCGCCTACTTCACATATCTGGCTTGATGGGTTCCGGGGGAGGGGTTTCAGCAGGCTCTTCCAGTGAACCATGCCTTGGTGCTTGCCCTGGTCCCACCCCCTTCTGCCAGAGACCCTCAGCTCTGTCCCACTCCTGCCCAGGCCCCCACAGGCACCGTTGACGCCAACGATGTAGAGCTGGCCATGCCCACCCAGTAGGCCACACCCACTCCATCCACGGCCACCCAGTAGGCTGCGCCCACCCTGGCCACACCTACCCGGCCCCCCGAGGACAACCGCAGTGCTGATGCGGCCCTCAATGAAATTGAGTTTGACACCCCTGCTGTAGGGGAAGGACTTTGCATGTTTGGGTGAGAATAACATGCTCTGAGCACGCGAAGGACTAACTTGTCAAAAAGGTCACATCAGCTGAGCTTTACAGGTGGTCCTCAACTTATGACCAGCCACTTATCAACTGTCTGAAGTTCTGATGAACCTCTCCCAAGATGTATGACCCAGTTTCAAAGTTCTGACATCACCCCTCCCTATCGTCATGTGACTACAGTTTGGGCACTTGTCACTGGCAAGTCCCCCAGTCATGTGACTGATTTATGGTATTTGCTTCTGGTTTCTGGCAAAAACCAGCCCGTGGAGAATAATGGGTTCGCTTAAGAATGGGTGCTATATGACTTCCATAATAGTCTTTTTAAGACAGATCCGGTCACATGGTGACATGTTTTACAACTGTCACGACGTACGAACATACTTGCCAGGCACAATTATGATCATAGGTCGAGATCACCTGTACTATTTTATTCCTACAAAGTAGTTTTATTGTCTTGCGGTAGAGACCTTCCCAAATATGAACCCAACATACAGCCTGAAATGCTGTAAGCCAGAATGTTATTTTCTTGGAGTATCATTTTTATATTACGCCATAAGCATTTATACACATCGTATATCAAATACAAATGAATTGCATGAAACAGCACAAAACCTCGCCCCTATATCATGTTAATTGGCTACTTCCTTTGAAAAAGGTTATCGAATTATTATAAAAAGTGAATAAAATCAAATATGATCAAGGCAACTTGCAATTCAGAAACACAGTCATCAATTTTTCAACTATTTAGGTGTTTTTCCTATATATTCATAAGCATATATAACTGGCTAATTTGACCATGACAGGCATGCCTTGAATACTCAAAATGTTAAAGATGGGAATGTTTCTCACCATTACAGTTCCAGCAATTTTTGACAAATTAACAACTCTTTTTTCACCATTTTTTCCTTCCAAATATTTGGGTCTAGAATAGGGATTCCCAATCTTGGCAACTTTAAGAAGCATGGACTTCAATTCCCAGAATTCCCCAGCCAGCTGGGTGGAGAATTCTGGGAGTTGAAGTTCACGGGTCTTAAAGTTGCCAAGTTTGAACAAACACAGGTCTAGAAAAAAAGCAACCAGGTACCTGGTAGCAGCGGCAAACGCAACAGCCCGAGCAGTTGTTGCTTCCTCCAACTTCTTCCTTTTTTTTTCTTCCATCAACTGCTTTTCTACAAAGGTCCGTGCTTCTTGCTCTGCTTTTAGCTTTTTCTCCAATTGGCCAATGGTCTGCTTATCTTTTTGTTTCATTTGTACAGCATTATGTAGTCTGAAAAAAAGGGAGAGAGTTGGTAATATTTGTCTGTAAAATGGGAAGAAAACCCACTCATCCACCCAACCAGCTTTGAATAAGGGGTGCTTTATAAGAGGTCTCCGTTCTCTATGTCCGTGGTGGCGAACCTATGGCACGCGTGCCACAGATGGCATGCAGAGCCCTCTCTGTGGGCACGCACGTCGTCGCCCAAGTCCTAGGCATTCAGCTGGGTTTTATAAAATCTTTTCGCTTTAGGCCTCCGCCGCTGTGTGCAAAAAAAAAAAAAAGGTTCAATCAATCAATCAATTTCAACTTCTCGCGGGAAAAAAAAGATCTCGCAAAGTTGGAATTGATTGATTGAACTTTTTAGTCCCACCCAGTCTGCCGTTACCACCGCGGCCACGCCCACCCAATTAGCCACGCCCACCCAATTGGCCACATCCACCCAATGGGCTACGCCCACACGGCACCCGACGATACATAAGTGGGTTTTGGGTTGCAGTTTGGGCACTCGGTCTCTAAAAGGTTCGCCATCACTGCCCTATGTCTATCTTGAATTACTGACCACTTACAATGTTCTCTTTTGGGCAAAGCAGTCAGAATCTCAAGATACTTTCAACTGACTGAGGTTGAAACGACTAGGGTTCTAATCCTGGCCTGCATTCCTTTTCCAGAGATTTTTTTTTTTAAAAAGAGAGATTTTACATGATGATATGAATGTGATGCTCCTGCTGTGCAAAGATTTCCTCAACTCTGAACACATTCAGAGCCAAAATTCACAGTGCATTTTTCAGGAGAGGATTTGAAAGAATTGCCTAACATAGGGGTGTCAAACTGCTGGCCCGTGGGCCGGTTGCATCATGCTGAGGCCGTGCCCACCCCCAGCCAAGGCATTGCAAAAAAAGTCATGGTATGTCGTGACAGGTCACGTGATGCGGCAAGTTTGACACCCGTGGCCTAACAGTTAAAAGCAAGTCAACAGTGACATCAATGATTTAAAAAGAGAGAAAGTTATCAGCTGGACATATTCAAGCAGAGACTGGACAGCCACTTATCAAGCTGTCAGGAAAGCTTTGGTTCAGACTTCTGCACTGAAGAGGGAACAGCACAAATGGCTTAAAAGTCCTTTCTCACTATAATACTCTTAGGATATTATTATCTACTAGCCACATGTTGCTGTGGCTCAGTCTGGTTAAATGGAAAAGAAGTGTGTTGCTTTTACGTCCAACAGATGGCGCTGTTTTTTAAAAAAAGCATGTTTTACCTCCTTGATTAGTTTCCATCCTTTGCTTCTTGTCCTGCCTTCTGGCGCTTTGGAGAATAGCTTGACTCCCTCTTCTTTGGGGCAGCCCCTGAGATGTTGGAACACTGCTATCATGTCCCCCCTCGTCCTTCTCTTCATTAAACTAGACACACCCAATTCCAGTTCACTGAGAATCAGTTCCTAATTAATATAGCACTCTTATCTCTGAAAGAACTCCCAGGTATTTAGCTCACAGTCCTTCAATACAGAAATTTCAGCCATTAAGCCTTTTAAAGCTGATGCATTAGCTTCCCACTTGAGGACCACGGGGCAGCTAGTGAAACACTAAGTGAGAGACAGCTTTAATCTTTCTGACCAAAATGGAATGAGCCTAAAACCACTTAAATTTGTCAAGATCCAGAGTCTTAAAAATACTTTTGTCCCTCCCCTAGAACAAAAGTGTAAGAGTAAACAAGCGGCAGCATAAAAAAAACCTTAAGAGATAGATGGATAAACTTACTTATTCTGAAGCAGCTCATTTTCCTGTCGGAGTTGCCCAATTTCCGATCGGATCCCCCGCTCTGTGCTAGTCAGAGAACCGATCTGACTGCGCAGTTCTTGTTCAATTTGCCTGCTGGCCTGCAGATCAGCCTTTAACTTCTTGATGTCTTGTTCCAACCTAGCATGGAGAAAACAGAGGTGCCTTTTAGAATATTTACTAATACGAGCTGAGATTTTATCACGTCTTGGCTGTTCAGACTTTTGTAACAGAACTTTCCTTACAAAGTAAAACACAAAAACACTGTGAAGGATAGGCCTGACTTTCTACCATTTTGTCTCTCCCTTTCTTTTTGAACCTTTGACTTAAAATTTTTACTGATATCCACTGGTATGCTAAGTTTCATATATAGCAGTGATGGCGAACCTTTTAGAGACCGAGTGCCCAAAGTGCAACCCAAAACCCACTTATTTATCGCCGGGTGCCAGGTGGGCGTGGCCCACTGGGTGGGTGTGGTTGTGGTCATGGCAGACTGGGTGGATGTGGCCAAGGTGGGCGTGATCACCTCAATGTTGCTCGTGGGGAGGGACGCCTGTGGGGCCCGGGCAGGGTTGGGGGAGATCCAGGGGGTCTCTGGCAGGTGGGGCGGTGGGCAGGAGGCTCGTCCTGTGGGGAGAGGCTAGGCAAGGTGAGGCAGGGCGGGGGTGCCATTGTCACAGGGCAAGGTGAGGCAGGGGCCGGGGCACCTGCTGCCTGACACCCATCGGCCCCTGCACACAGAGGCCAGCGAGCGCATGGGTGCTGGGATGCATCCAGCCACGTGGGACCTTGGCGAGTTAGTGGACGGCTGGTTGAAGAGGGATGGTTGCCATCTCCGGGGCATGGCGAGCGTGCCCACAGAGAGGGCTCCGAGTGCCGCCTCTGGCACATTTGCCATAGGTTCGCCACCACTGATATATAGGTTATACTGCAATGGTACAAAACCATGCTCCTATCACAAAGGAAGTATGTTAAGTAGCAGATTGTAATCTGAGTAACAAAATAGATCATAACTTCCAATAACTGGTAGCATGGATTTTCAACGTGTTGAAGCACGAGAGACATCATGGGTAAAGTGTGTTCTAAAAAGCTTAACACGGTTCTAAAAACACGGACCACTTTGCATCGGGGTCTGACCACAGATTGATCACTTTCTGGTATTCAAGTAGTGCTACATAGCAGAGAGCTTCTGAAGCTGAACTGGAAATGAGTCTGACTACAAGCTTCACATTAAGGGAGACACATGATTACTGATGATTATGTGTCATCAAGTTGGTGTCTTCCTAATGATCAAACAGATGGAACTTCTCTAGGATAGCCTGGCTTTTTAGATTTCTTGGTGGTACACCCACAGCCACTTGATCACAGCGCTGGTTGCCCTCTTCTCTTTCCTTCCACCTTTCCCAGCGCTAAGGACCAAGGGCTGGATTTTTGTATATGCCCAATATATAGTAATTTGAGTAGGTTTGAGAGTCAGGGAGATGACCTTGAGGAAATGGCAAGAATTTTTATATAGGCCAGTGGTGGCGAACCTATGGCACAGGTGCCAGAGGCGGCACTCAGAGCCCTCTCTGTGGGCACGCGCGCCGTCGCCCCAGTCCTAGGCCTTTAGCTGGGTTTTATAAAACCTTTTCGCTTTAGGCCTCTGCCACCGTGTGCAAAAAAAAAAGGTTCAATCAATCGGTCAATTTCAACTTCTCGCGGGGAAAAAAAAGATCTTGCAAAGTTGGAATTGATTGATTGAACTTTTTAGTCCCACCCAGTCTGCCGTTACCACCGCAGCCACGCCCATCCAATGGGCCACACCCACCCGGCACCCGATGATGCATAAGTGGGTTTTGGGTTGCAGTTTGGGCACTTGGTCTCTAAAAGGTTCGCCATCACTGATATAGGCAAAGAGGACTGAAATATTCCTTAATCTTGGAATAAAATATCATATCTGAAAGCAAGCAAGGCAGGCTCCTCCCTGATCCATGGGGATGTAAAACACTATCAAGCTTGCAATTTTTTTTATTTATAGCCTATATCAATACACGTCTAGATTCTTATGGAGTCTGTTATGTATGTCTTGCTTGTAGACTGAACGTGACAATCAAGCTTGTTAACCTGCTCGCATTCTGCATCACAGTTCAGGCATGCACCTGGATAATGCCTTATTAAATGAAGATTTATGAAGTTTAATTCATATTATTTGCACTGGACCCATATCCTGTGTTTGCTCTGTACCTCCTGACTAGGCATGAAATGCCATTCTTTTTCTATTTTCTCTTCTATTGTTCCCCAACAATTAACCGTATGATCTTCTGATTGAAAGTATGCTATGTCAGTCCCTTTCAATTTTCTGGTGCCTAAGATGTCAACGTGTGGTTGAGCTTTCCTTGTTCGTGTTTCTTATGATCCATGTTCCCACTGTAATTTTGTTTTCTCAGTTTCAACTTTCATTTTCCTGCAGGGCAAAATCAGCAACTTCTGAAAGGCTTTAATCAGCTGCATCCTAAACACCATTGTTACACCAAAAGATGCTCAGGTCTTCTTCAGTAGCATGGTAAATTCACAGTGAAGATTAATGCACATTACATTTCTCCCACAAAACTGGACTCCTAATCCAGAGAATGGTTAGAATTTGACTGGGTACACATGATCTTTAAAGTAGGTTCTCCAGTTTCAATAATGTCAAC